GATGATGTATTTGGTCGGTATTCTGTTGACCGATGCCGTGCTGGCTCATGTGGCACGCTTCCCGACACCAGACGAGATCCCCGTCGATTCCGACGAAGCAGTGCTGTACGAAAGCTTCGGATCCTTGCACTTGGCAATGCATTCATTGTTCCGGAGCATTACAGGTGGTGTTGATTGGGCAGTTTACGCACGAGCTTTCGCACAAGTGAATTGGATGTGGACCTATCTCTTCACCTCGTTCATAGCCTTCTCAGTGTTTGCGGTTTTGAACGTCATGACAGGCGGGGTTCGGTCCCTCGTTCCAAACGGTGCCTTTCTGTTCTTAGTTGTCGTTGTCACTATCAAGTCAATCCAGCAACATGTTTAGGCTACGAACGGAGCAAAGGGCATCGCTACTAGGAGCAAGGACGCTACTAGTAGCTCCTGGCCATACTAGTAGTAACAAGAAGCTACTAGGAACAAGTGCATCGCTTCTAGGAACAAGTGCCTTACTACTAGGAACAAGAACGCTACTAGGTTTGTTTGAAATTGCGGTTCACACCGGTGAGAGTCCTCGCACTCACGATCGCTTGCGGGATAGGACCTTAGGACCAGGTAGAACCGAGCTAAGGGGCCGAAGATGCCCTCCTGCGGGGCTCAGGGATGTAGGTAGGACGGTAGGTACATGTGTACGTATACCGTACTGAAGAATGATATAGCTACATGTGGGCAATGATATAGGTACGGCAAGATGTAGGTAATTATAGGTAGATATAGGTACATGTGTACGATGAAGACATGATGAAACGCGTATTCAGAGGAAGAGGAGAACTCTTTTGGTGGCTGTATGTTTGCGCGCGTGCAATGTTGTTGTGTTTTCTTGACAGGACATTACCCGACATTACATCATTGACACCACCAACACCCTCACTTATAAACTTTGCTATTGGCAAAGCATCATTACCCGCACAAGTCATTCAAAACTCCCTGCTCCCCCCAGCGGATGATGCGGGTCGCCCCACAATGGTAGCATCCTAGAGCTAAAGCCGAGCATGACGCTTCAGCGCATCACCAGATGTCAGGGGAGCTTTGCAGACGAAGGTGATTTTGTATGTGGATGTCAGTCAGTAATGGGAGTCGGACTATGTATGTACTCGAGCTTGAATATGTGGGAGGTAAGGTACATAGGTGTACATCAGTGTGTACATCGTATACAACATTATGCTCCAGAAAGCGCAGAATCGAGTTTCGCAAACTCGACCCCCTGTGCACCTTTGTTGAGAGAAAATGTTGTTGCAGTGGTTACGGTTAGTGCAATACGTTTACATATTTAAACAATAACAACAACAAATTATTTCTGGAACTGTTGTGGAAAGAGAGCACATTATTGAAAGACTGACAGTTTGTAAAGACCTTGATTTCCTTGGCACAAACATGAACATCCACCAGGAGAAGGGCATAGACTGGCATAGACATAGTGGTGGGGTTTGGCACAACTCAAGGTTTCTAGCCTAAAGGACTTAAAACAACCTTTGTGGCACTGAGTATTGCCATACATGAATTAACTGCGAAATGTATAAACTCTTGATCCGGATTGTTTCCAAAAGCTGACAGCCAAAGATATCGATATCAGGTGGAATTGGAAGGGAACATTAAATATTTTAAAGAAATCAAACAGATTGTGGGCCAATTGTGGGACATGATTTCTTCTGTGCGTTCCTCAATGCAGGGAATAAAAGGGGATTGAAACGGGATACCTCATTGGTTAGCGCAAACACCCACTAGCAAGACAAGAGCAACATTGTTGTAAGGTAAGCACTAGTAGGTTGGAGGCCATCACTCTTAAGTTGCAGGCCATCGCTCTTAGGTTGGAGGCCATCGCCAACACTTCCAGTCTACTGGACTGTCCTGGAGAGTTGGTCTTTGCAATGCAGCCTCGAACTTCGGCGGAGTTGGAAACAGGGAAATGCAGGTTGAAAGAGAGGGGAAGGTGAAAGATTCCAAAGGCAGTTGTGGCCCATAAAGACAACATGTTTCTTGATTTGGTTTTTCGCATTCCATGGCATGCCTTCCTTTGCGATTGCCGAGGGCTCATGGTCTATACATTCATGCCACGGTATTCCTGCGTGCACGCGCAGGCGATCGCATGGCACTTACTAGGCCGCTACGCCCTGCGCACATGCGCAGCTCTGCTCACTTCTTGTTGGCTCTAGCCACCTTTTTTCGTGCTTCCTCTGAACATATGTTTGGCATGTACTTCAAGTCGAGTAAGTCGCCGAAGCTTTGCTGCGACTTTGAAGAACACCTTAGCTGGGCGCTGAACCTGCGTTTCTGCCCACCCTGCATGAACTTCAGGTAGGTGCCACGGTTCTGCTGGGACTCTGGAAAGCCACTTCGCTTGGTGCTTTCTTTGCACACTGTCATTTTCCTCTGACCCGTCATTTCCATGCATATAGGCCTGTCATAGTCTCCAAAGTGCCGGATTAAGAACATCCGTGGAGTTGGAGTCAATACAACATAGGTGAAGACACCGTCGCAAGCCAGCGCCAACTTCCAGTCAAAAAGACTGAGAACAATCAGAATCAGCAAGCACGGAGCAATTCCCATGAAAGGCATGGCAACAACCCATCAGAAAACAAGGGTAGTGTGCAAAATTCTCTGTAGGGTGCAATTCGTTCAGGATGTCTAGTCTCCTGGGCTTTATCCGCTTTACCATATTGCAGTGTGTTGAAAGACGTTTCATTTGCAGAAAAGAGTTGGTAGAAAAAAGACCACACATATGCTTTAATGCGTGGCGTTTGCTGTGGAGCAGTGGAGTGCACCAACCCAATCCTTAATGCAGGGCGAAGGCAAACAATCGAAATATAAGCTGAGGAGACTGAAGAAAGCGCTGAGGTTGTATGGAGGTTTGGAGGAGCTCAAGACTGGATTGGCAGAGTAGCAAAGGTTAGCATTGGAAGATTTGAAGGGATACTTGAAGAACGGTAACCCTTCTTGAAGAAGGTTTGGAAAACAGGATTAAAGGTTTGCGCCTTGAGAAGTGTTACGAGTGTTGAAATTGAGAGGACCTGCAGGGTCCCAGAGAAGCAAGAAAAACGATTGTTCAAAACAACCTGCGACAGCTCAATGTTTTTTGGACATGTACATTCAAAATGACCCCAGCCCAAACCTGTAGAGATTTTTTTACTGGTGTTTTAAGTGTTCATAATGTGTTTTCTATCAATCTCAGTGAGATAAAATGTCAACCATTTTTGGCGCTTCGATTGATCAACTGGTTATTAACAACGAGGTTCTTGCTTCAGAACGGGAATGCAAGAGAGGTTTGGCTGAGACCACCTCTTCTACCCCTCCACAGGCTTCAGCATGAAGCCCCCACCCAAAAATGTAGTAGGAGGCATTCACAGTTAAGGTGTTCCTACCGAAACAAGACAGAGTTTGGAGTGCTTGGTCTTTGTGACTTTCCCAGGTGTTTGACTAATTTAAATTCGATGTCTTTTCTCAGGTTGGAGGCCATCCCTAGTAGGTTGGAGGCCATCGCTACCAGGGTGGAGGCCATTGCTAGTAGATTCGATGTGTTTTTGTTCCGGAGGCGTTTTCTGCCAGCGAGCAACCGAGCTGGCTGAGCGCGACAAAGAGGCCCAGCTGATGGCGATGCAGATTGAGACGGAGCACATCATGGACGAGGCCCGTCGGTTGTTCCGAAGCTTTGACGTGGTTCGGCAAGGCTCTTTGACATTGATGGAGGTAGAGTTGATGCTTCAAGATGAGGATGTCAAGGCTGCCTTGGCTGCCTTGGACTTGGTGGTCTATGACCCTTGGCGCTTCTTCCGTTTGCTGGATTTGAATGGCAACGGGGCCGTCACAGAGGAGGAGTTTGTGGAGGGATGCTTACGGTTGCGTGGCCCTGCGCGCACCTTCGATGTGGCCAGTTTGGCAGAGGAGAACATTCGAATGAAGGCAAAGCTTGCAAGTTTGGAACAGCAAGAAGTGCTTTCGCAGCAGATGATCAGCCACTTTCGGGTGGAGATGTTGCAAGTGGGCAAGCTGGCCCGTCAAACAAGTGACTACCTCAACAGGTGCAAAGCTTCCGAAAAGTCGGTGGGGTATGCCACGTCCACAGAGGAAGAGGGCCCTTCAATGCAAGACGAAGGAAAACAAGCTTCAAAAGGTCGGCAAACTTCACCAGACTCAAGAGTTTCCTTCGATGGGATTGAGGGTGCTGACTGGACGGCGCTTCGACAAGCTAGCATGAGAATGGCAGAAGCTACAACGAGCTTTGCTACACTGATGCAGCAGGCAGGAAATACCGAAGCTGCCCAATCCCCATTTGATTCAGTCGCCACACTTCCTTCTCCTCCTCCATCACAGTTGGCGCCATCTCCACCAATGTCACAGCCTGAAGCCATTTTTTTCTTGGAGCCAGAACAGCCAGAAGGGCCAGTGCCAGAGCGAACCATCCCGGGAATCCCGGAAGAAGGAAGAGATGAAACGAGAAGAGATCGAGATGGCCTCCATCCTAGTAGCGATGGCCTCCAACCTGCTAGAAGAGATCGAGGTTCACAGGGTCAAGGGGGCACAGTCGCAGGTCAGCTGCAACGAGACTTTGATCTCCCCTACTTCTGTGACCCTGAGCAGTGAATCGAGAATGCCTAAGTAGTCAAAGTTGCGCAGAAAATTGTATGTTTCACGTGTAGGTTTCACTTCGAGTGTCAGGCTCATTCTATGTAATTCTGAATTCTCATTTCCCCAAGCAACATGCTGGATGCAGCAAAGCTGCCTTGAAAAGGTTGCTAGGACTTGCAGCGAGACACCAGTTGTACATGCAATTTGTGCTTGCAAGACTCGGCCTAAACAACTGCACTGTAAACTTTGTCATACCTTTGTCCCGTTTAGGTCAGGATGAAGAAAGATCTGGAAAGTATTCAGAAGTTGTGATCAAAAAGGTGAGGAAGGGGGGAGTAGTTGGAATCATGGAGCACGGTGAGACAAAGAGTTGGCAGGTGGAGCTCCAGGCAGGCACCATGGAACTTGGAATCATCGCGCCAAGTGCGTCAGAGGCGTGACAGTCAGAGCGAACGTTTTCACTTTTTTGCGATCAGAGTGTGAGAGGAGGCACGCAGACCAATTCCCACCATCCTGGCCATTTCTAGAGGCGAGCAGCGTCGCTGCCTTGGCGTGATCCTTTTGTTCGCCCTTGGGGTATTGGCCAGACTCAGGTCATGTGGCAAGACTCTTCCGGGCTTTGCGGGCAGAGACTAGAGGATGGCAACTGTCCGGAGCTCCATGAGGGAGGCCATTGCTACTAATTAGGGTGGAGGCCATCGCTTTTAGGTTGGAGGCTTTCAACTTCAGAGATTCTTAGGTCGGTTCTTTTTTGCACAGCTGTCACATATGGTCAAAACTTGGAGCCCCAACACCATGTAGCTTGACCTTCCAGTTGGGTCGGTTTTGACCCACAGCCACATTGCATCTTCTATTGCATCGCCACCCCGTTAATTCAAACATCAAAGCAGGGGTAGGGGGATTTCACTTTAGGCCAGCCCACATAACAGAAAGACATGTAGCTGTAGCTAAATCCCCCGGGCCATACACCCGGTTCCGGGGGAGAAGCCTACAATATAGGAATGTGTATCAGTTGATACCTGAGACATTCAATGTTGCATTTTCTGATGCCCTTGAGCACCAGAGGCTTGACGCCCTTTGTTACTACTAGCTTCTTGTTACTAGTAGTATGGCCAGGAGCGCCCCTAGTAGCGTCCGATCGCTCCTAGTAGCGATGCCCTTTGTTGCTAGTAGCTTCTTTTAAAAGTTGCTGCGCCTCACACTTTCCAAAAGCTCGTTTCCCTTTGCTGGCAGTATGGTCCAAACTTGAACCGACCAGATGCATTGTGTAGCATCTCCTCGCAGAAAGTTCGAACAAAAGGTGCAACCCTCTGAAGAAGCACAGAGGGTTTTGAACAGGCGCATGATGATATGCCATCAGTGAATTGACATGCCGTCAGAGCCTGGTTCCAATTTAACGCAAAAAGGATTTGCAGCTCTCTCAGCTTTCGATTTTCAGCGAGAGAGAATGATGCAAAATGAGCTGGAAAATGTAACCTGGCCGAAATTGCAAGAAAGGGCAAAGGGCGATGTTGTGATTACCTCCCGGCGACATATGTCCTGCAATTTTCTCAGGAAAGCGAAACATGGGCGTCGAAATTGTAAGATTACCTTTCGAGGTCCAAACATGAAAACGTTATATTTCATGATAATATTCCCCACCCGAGAAAAACATTCAGGAAATCGTATACTTTACAATTAGGGGTCTTCTACCTGCGGCAATGGCTTTGCAAGAACTAAGGCTGGTCCCGATGCGTTCAGGGAGTTCGCCTGACTTCTTCGAGCCGTCGTGAGCTCAAACTCAGCTGCCTGGGATGAGCGATACCATGCGCACCTAATGCGTGTATACTGTATGTGGATTGCGTCACTGGTCTCCAACCTACTTGCGCTGGCCTCCACCCTACCAGCGATGGCCTCCAACCAACTTGCTTGTATGTGGATTGCATTTAAAGGTCACACTGACACAGCCGATTCTTCATGAGCAGCACATACTTTAGATCTTCGTTTAAAAGCGGGGCCCCAGCAGACTACGTTGATTCCACAAGACAGCGCCAAGTCGGCGCTAGGCTCTCTATGATATGACCACGATTGTTGATTTTTAGGTGTGATTGTGTGCTTGTCCTCCTTCTTTCCTCCCTCCGTCCCACACTCCCTCCCTCCCTCCTTCCCTCCCTCCCTCACTCACTCGCTCAAGACAACGGTCCACTTCATCATCAGTGGACTAATTTTTGGCAAGAATTACTAGAGTGACATAGATCTTTATTGGTTCAAACATATACATTTACAAGCAAGCCCCCACAAGGTGTGCCAAAAACGTCACTTAGAGGAAAAGACAATAAAAGACATATGCCGACCGCACCGTGTTTTTTTAAAGCCGTCTTCTATGTGCTCCTTGGTGAGCCGAGGGCTGGCATCACAATGCTGCAGCAATTCCTTCAGGCCAAAACTGAGTGCAATGTGAGGCAATTAGCTTCTTGCGATGCCCTAGTAGCGTCCTAGTAGCGTTCTTGCTCCTAGTAGTAAGGCCAGGAGCCCCTAGTAGCTTCTTGCTATTGGGTTGGAGGCCACCGCTCTTAGGTTGGAGGCCATTGCTAGTAGGTTGGAGTGCAATGTGAGTGAGTTTCTGTTTGATCCTTTCAGATCTTCCAGCCTTTGTCTTTCCGAATTGCAAATCCCTTCAATTGAGGAAGCCAAATGCAGTTTGTTCATGATATTGACACGCCTTTTGGCTTTCTGGTTCACGCAAGCAGTCACTCTCTCTGTATACATGCCACTGTTTGATGTAAATTATGTTTCTTTCGCGTGTCCTTGTAACTCCCTTTTAAAACTTCGTTCACGCATGCCTATAGTAGCCCCCCGCACTAAAGCACTCTTCCTCGGCTTGCACTTTTGTACACTACTCATTGCATGAAGGTCAGCCAGAAACAGCTGAGCGACAAACGTGAATCCTGGCCACGAACCCTGGCGTAGGAACTCCTATCGTAGGAACTCCGCGGTTGCAAATTGCAAACAACGTATTTGGAGAATCAAACTCAACTGGCTCCTAATGGCCCAGCCCAACCATTCCAATCCATCGTTTTCAATGCTCTTCTGTGAGTTTTGGTGAGAAGTGTGGACGGAACTCTATTCAACATCGGACACATATAGGTTGATGCTGTCATAGGGCCTATCTGTTTTTCTGTCAATCCGTTTGCAGGGTAATTTCTTCAGATCAAGGACATGAGTTTGAACAAAGCATGTCATGCGTAGGGCCTTTTCGGACACACCGGTGTCCTCCTCTCGCCTCGCGAACGAGAGACAGCGACGCCAGGCAGTTCTGGACGACCACAACCGAGACATCGCGCCCTTTGCGCCTATGAGTAGCTGGGTCTTTTATAGAGAGAGAGAGAGAGCGCAGCAATGCGCAGCAGAGTCTTCATGTCATTTGGTGAGTCACTTGGGCCATGTGTGCAGAGCAAAGATTCGTATGTAATTGCGCACATTTCGGCATGATTTTGGTTCGTCAGGCAATGTTTTTCACATGATGGGCGTAAGCCATGGCCAGAACCCAAGCATTGACACTTACACACACCGGAGGTTCTGACATGCTCCATGACACACTCTGAGGTTCTGCTGCACTCCTCTCCCTCGCTAGCAAAGTTCCAGAACGGACTGTGCCCTGTTTGAAGTTTTGCCGATGGCTGAGCCTGCTGAGCCTTGCTCACCAAGGGCTCTTTGAGCCTCATCACCGGCTTTTTTCCTCAGTTCTGCGAGATCGAGGCCATTGCCTACAGCTGTACATGCATGTTCCTTGTTGCAAAACTTTAGCACAGGCTCTTCGGAATATGAAGAGCATCCACTTCTATGCTGGGGATCAAGATGAGCTAGGCACTGCATCCTTTGCATCTGAACGAGCACACAGGGTACATACGAGTTGCAGTCAGGTCATCGGGAGTACTTGAGAGGTATCAAGGAGTCTTTGAAGGAGCACCTATTCCATTTGTTTCCACCTATTTTTGCTGCCCAGGTGTTGTTATTTGAGTGCCTGTAGCTATTCAAAAAGTACAATTTTAGACTTGCTTGGCTCTGTTTTGGAGCATTTCAGGAAGCAGGAGGGCATGCTCATATGCATACTGCTGTGACCTTGGAGCCCTTCCTTGGTGCAATGCAAATGGATGCCCTTTGTTACTTGTAGCTTCTTGTTACTAGTAGTAATGCCAGGAGCCACTTGTAGCGTCCTTGCTCCTAGTAGTGATGTCCTTTGTTACTAGTATCTTGGCAAGTCTGAAATGTGTGCCAAATCCGAGGTCAAAGGAGCGAGTCACTATGACATTGATGAGTTTATTGACCTGGAGGCTTGGACTGTGGCTCTGACCCAACCGTTTACAGCGCAGACCACCACGCTTTTTACAGTTGGGAACAAGGAACCCGGGGGCTTGGTGGGTCCAGTTTGGAGGACCTTTGGCAACGCTTGGAGCTTGCGCGCTGAAGCGCCAAACTCAAGAGATAGTCTGTGAGCGTCTTCGGAAAAGTTGCGCCGCCTTGTGCCGCCAATTGATCAATTGACGCAAAGGCAATTGATGGCTCAACATGATTTGAGGTTGGAGGCCATCGCTAGTAGGTTGGAGGCCATATTCGTGGCTGTGCGGCTCAGATTGGAAGGAATCGGACCAAAGTCTTCCGACGAAGTAGCATCGCGGGGGCCCAATGGAATCTGCCGAAAGCCCTGAGCACTCGTTGGATTTGAAGATCAGTCGAAAGCGTAAAAGATCTGGGCAGCTTCGCTCTGACTTTGTACACCCTGCAGGGCCAGGTGAACTGCCATGGGCCTGGCGTTTGGCAGACACACTTAGCACACCGCGTAGATCTCCGGTCGAAACTCGACAGGAGTCACTTCCAAAGCAGCTGGAAGCAAAGCCAAAGGAGCCAAAGTCCTAAGATCCCTGGTTTCGCTCTTTTCTGTAGACCGTTCTTCCCTTTTTTCTTGGTTGTTCTTTTTCATTTCTTTAGATTTATGCTTTTAACTTTGCAAAGAGACTTATTCTTCCACTCTTAGTTATTTTGCCAATTTTGAAGGAGCCAAAGTCTGAAGACGACTCGCTGCTTGCTCCATTTGCGCAGATTCTTCCTTGGGAGCCTTTCTTCCGGGACACTTTGACGTGCACTCTGCCCGAGCAAATGCTTGAAAAGAACGTTCTTCCTTGGGCGTGGCGTTTGCCCTTTGCGTGTGAGCCATGAAATGCGGTGCGGTTGATGACCTGGTGCATCTGATGACGGTCAATGTTTGCAAATAAATTAGCAGCTCCCGCAAGGAACCAATTAATTATGGCACAGCTTGCCTGTGTGCCTGTGTAGTGGCAGGGAAAAAAGTGCGCAGATTTGCTTATCCAGTTGAAATCAAATGTTGCCAGCATGTTTGCCGCGAAGCCTGATGAAAAGCTCGTTTGTTGACTCCAAGTCTTAGCAAAGCTTTCTTGTAATTAAAGATAGAGAAGGACAAGTGCAACCCCCTGCACTCAAATCTCATTCCGAGCAGTGAACTCAAAGGTGATTCAACAGCTGACGTAGTTCGTAGTTCATTTCATCGTCCAAGTGTCCAAACCTCCTCAATCTAATGGCCCATGTCACGCTCAATTCGTCATTACACCAATGTTTTGGAAGCAAAGCTACCTCCTGCAGGGTAGCAAGCACCTTTAACCTTATTGTCGGACAGATTTTGGAGCATGCGACCTCTTGAAGTCAAATACCCAAGCCCACAAAGCCTGAAGCTTAGAGCCTGTAAAGCATGCCAGCTTGCACACCGTTTGACTGGATTGAGTCCGGCACATCAGTTGTTCTTGCAGTTGGTTTTTGTATGGAGTCAGGCATGGGCAATGTTAGTCGGATCTTCAGTTGTGGATGAGCTCATCCAATCACAGCCCTAACCAAATGTGACTTTGTTCATCCAAAACTAAGGTGAGGGTGTGAGGGTCTCAGACAATCGTGCGAGTTGCCTTGATCAAAACTCTATCAGCTGAGTTTGCCCAGGACATGCCTGGCATACACTGTTCTTGCACGTGCCGGGAACACTGAACAGGCGCGACCGGCGTTCAGGGCTCGACCGGCGTTTAGCCATTTTTGTTGGCGAATAGGATGCAATTCGAGCAGCTCAGCACGCTCTCCAGTGGCACCTTGGTGGAAGAGATCGATGAAGCTGCTGTCCCAAGGGGTGGTGTATTCGAACCTGTTCGGGCATACGGGTAGCCGTTATAGAAGGGGTTCTACTATATATATATATAAGTTTTTGCAGTTATGTTTGGTGTCATCACTATGTGTTTCATCATTTGTTGGCTGTCATGTCCGGTGGTGGGCCTCCAAACCTGGAGAAGATCACTGAAGTGGAAATAAGTAACAAGGGCATCACTACTAGGAACAAAGGGCATCACTACTAGGAACAAAG